CAAAAAAAAAAAACCCCCCCCCCCCCCCCCCCCCCCTGCGCGAGCAGGATATAACCCCCCCCCCCCATGGTTTTCATTTCCCTACGCGCTCTACCATCAAAATAAGAGAACTTAAGCAGAGGCACTTATGACTGACCCACGTCAAGCGGAAGTGAGGCCTTTTCTCTTTTAATAAGCTTTGACACTACCTGATTTGTATTGGTAAGAGCCTTTATTCTTAAAGAGACGATTTTGCGAAAAGTCTGGCCAAAACCACCGCCCAACAATTTTTTAAAAAGGTCCACTTCCGGTTGACGTGCGTTGCTCAGAAACATATTTGCGGACCATTAGAAAAGTTATGGTGGGAGGTAGGTAAAGAACAAGAAAGTCAAAAAAGATATTTGTTCAAGGGAAAATCTTATGAAAAAAATTCATGCATGCTGAGTAGCCCTAACAAATATTCCTGCACTGGCCTAAAAAAATTCATACAAGGAAAATATTATCAGAAAAAATTCGGTCGAAAATCCTCCACCCACCCCCCTAATAACTTTATTAATGGTCCGTCCCTAAACTAGAAAGTCTGCTAACTAAAGCCTGTCGCTTTTCAAACTTTTTAACACAGCCCCTAGTTAAGGAATAACGTGACACATTTTCTATAGACAATTCCAAGAAGAAACTTGCTGTGCTCTATCATCATTTCACTTGGTAAAATTAAGATTGTAAGAGTGTTCCTAAAATTTGACCTGATTTCAGGTCAAATTGTCAACAAAACTTCCTAGGCTACTCACTTACCTGCACAGTTCTTTAATTGAGCTAACATCCACAATTCTGTAATGAAGGTGATTCATAAATCGAGGCATGTACTTATCCAAGAACTTTTTATCAGCATGCACACTGTTACCAGCCAGGGGACACTCTTTAGCAGAGGTGTGTTTCTTTATAAAATCCAGAAAAGTGTCTTCTGCTTTTGATAGGTTGATTTTGGAAGCTTTAACTGCAGCTGTTAAACCAGACTTGGTGAGCAAAAATAAATAACATATTTAGATCTATGAAAATGCTTTGCCTGGGAGGTCTGTGACCTTGCAAAAACTGTTATCCTTGGGAAGCCTGTTGTCTTGTAGGGTGTAAGAGAGGGGTGGGGGTAGGGGAAGTGAGGGCATGACCTGAATTTTCCCCTTCTTCCATCACACTGAAGGGGCGTTGACATAGGGGTCTGGGGTATATCATCTTATAAAATTTTTCCAAAATATATTAGAAATACTAAAAGTCAAAGTTGAGGGAGTATGTTTCATCAGTCTAAATTCTGGGCTCTCTGGCTTTGTCAAGTTGGTGATTGTGAATTACCTTTTTTCCTGCAAAATTTGAAGGAATGCCCCTTACAATCAATTTGTATTAGAAAAGCATTCCTCATTACAGCATGTCTACCATCAATACGAAGTGTGTTGCAGTGAAATTTGCCTGCTACTTTGCAGCAGCACTTTTACAGGAGGCTGGCAGTTGTAAGACTGGGAGAAATCGCCGTTCTGTGCATTCCTTGTAGTTTTAAATAAAGGGAGCACAGTTTCTAAGTTTAAACAACCATTTTTTTTGGGGGGGGGGGTGGGGGAAGAAAACGGTTTTCAGANTTTCCCCTTCTTCCATCACACTGAAGGGGCGTTGACATAGGGGTCTGGGGTATATCATCTTATAAAATTTTTCCAAAATATATTAGAAATACTAAAAGTCAAAGTTGAGGGAGTATGTTTCATCAGTCTAAATTCTGG